AAAAATCTAAACATGATAATTGTCAATTAAATTCAAGTTGTGATTTCAAAGTTTAAAACTAATGATATTTTTATTAAATTAGTTTAATATGATAATACTGTCTTGCCATTTTATTTTTTGCAGTTACTTTAATTGTATTATCAACCATTTTAAATTCAGTAAAAATTTTGCTATTATTATTTATTTTATTTTGTAATGACTGTGGACAATGCTCAATCTTTGGATTGTTATTAATTATTTTTAAATACAAGTCCAAGTTATTATTTTGATTTCCTGTTTTAGATTCAAATTTTAAATTATTTGGTAGATTTCTCTGGCTTTTATTGAAATCTAATGATAACTTGTTTCCACTGAAAGTATGATCTGCAGTAATATCGTTAGAATTATCTTTATCTTCGGTATCAAGAATTCCACCTCTAAAAGTTTTTATAGCTGATTTCACGAGACCCCTTAATTGTACGAGTGCAAGATTCTTCACAAGTATGTTACAACATTTTAAAAAACCTTCCGACTTATCTAACAAAAGTATCCATGATACCATTTTCTGGGATATTATGAATTCAAATTTTTTCTCTACTGGTGTTAGCGCATTAAATCCCTGTTTACTAAGACATTCGACTTCGTATAAAGTGCAAAGCGTATATATTTTAACTAACTTAGCCTATAAATGTATCTTTCTAATTTTCGAATTTTCAAAAAGATCTCTTAAATTATTCTCCTCGATTCATCGTAATATGCTTATTAAATTGATTGCATTTATTTCTGAATTAAAGTGATCGTTTAAAAATAATATATTTGATTTTGTTACTTTAGCATTTTGATWATTAGAATTTCGTTTAATATAAAATTTGACATCCATTAAAAACTATTAGGCTAATAACCTCACAAAAGATCCGGAWAGCACTCAACAATAATATCACAACACAAGGGGTGTTGAATCGAAATTTTTTCTTGAAGAGAAAAAAGATTTTACTACCAAAAAAAAAAAATCGGGACCCTAGGGACGGGCGCCACCACCGACTGTAATGTCTCCTCTCTACCTATCGCTTCGCACCACTCCTTAGTCCTTAGGTGTCGTTCTGTTTATATTTACGAGGGCTCGGAGACTCGAATTCGGTGTGTGATATTTATACTAGGGATCAGGATTACCTTATGTGAATCAAAGTATTCAATGTATACATAATATATATTATATATCCATTATTAATTATTATTATTATAACTAAAATGTCAAACTTATAATATATCGAACATCAAATATTAGTACTTATAAATTATAATTAAGAGTTACTGATGGGGCCATGGGTGCCAATATCCAGTGYGAGTTAAACCTGTCGTCCGTGGGTCCACTTCGGGTTGTTGTCAGCCTTTGACACCTTCACCATCAACACTTGACACTCAACTGTGTATAGCCACCACTAGAAGTCCCGTTTGGCCATTAACTCGACCCGTGCTAAACTCTAGTCAGCATAATATTATATTGCCTATTTCCACGACTATATTTTCCATTAGTAACACTCAGCATATTAGCCGTGTCCAACGTAGGGACTAATGTACGATGTTGATGATAACAATCGTTACAATACTAAARTTAAAATCATCCAGCTAATGTTAACAAATATTAATCATACATTTATACAGGGCCGGATTTTACATATTCTGTACATTAAGTTTTTTGCGTTTATTGGGTCAACTTACAAACTTAATATCAATAATACCAATAATCACATACTATGTTATGTTAAGCCCAACATTTAGATTTCATTTTTCAACTTTGAACTCTTAACACATTTCAGTTAGCCATCTCATGACTTAAACGGCTAAAATAGTYGTAATCGGTAACTCGCTGGGCCAATCCCAGCCCTGAACTTATATTAATGTATAAAACATAGTCCTTGTAGACCTGACATTAAGTTTTTCTTAATACATAAATTATTTCTTATTTAAATAAAAAAAACATTCATATACTTCATGTTTAAAAATGACACAYCAAGATATAAATCACTCACTGGAGTCCCAAGATATTGTAACAAATATTGGTAAAATAAACAACCAGTAACAGTTTAAGTAATATATTCTTTCTTTTAATTGAAAGTGAATGGACTAATACCAAATTACTATCAATTCTACTTAGACAATTTAATATTCATGGTAAATTAAGTCCTAATTTTATATGACAAACCTAGTATAAGAGTGAYATGACTAATGGAAAACAAAAATAGTTGTATAAACAATTATGTCATATTGCACATTATTAAGTACATACAAGTCATTATTGATGCTTAATTGATTTAACATATTGTATACAGAATGTCTCACAATGACCTGACATATGGAATAACTTTTATTGCATTCAGTATTAAAAGTTTTTTTTCTTTATAATTTATAATTTTTTATTTTTTAATACTGATAATGAAAAACTTAAAAATTGGTACACATTTTWAAGGATAAATTCAAAATAGCCTATTTGTGAATCTAATTATTAGAACAAAATTGATGGTAAATAGATTTATTTAAAAGAATTTTTGTGGTTAAATTAATTTGGAACATTATCACTTATACATTTTTTGATCATCATCTCATACTASTTGATTATCAATCACTTGAATTGTAATTCAGTTTATTTAGTAATAAACCAAAAACATTTAACTGAACYTTTAGATAGAATTTACTAATTTTCTAAGATTAAAAAAACAAAAATTTCACAGTATTTCTTTTATTCAATTTTGATACAAGATATACCAAAAYCATATTTAAACAGCAAGAAGTTCCCTCTGAACTTTTCTCCAGTTATCCAATGGTCCATGGTCAGGGCGGAATTTAACATTGGCACCATCGGGAGCTAGTTTTCCATCTTCCTTCAGTGTTTCATATTCATCACGGTCATATTTTGTAAATCCCCATTTTTTGCTTACATAAATCTAGAAAAACAATTTTAATTTTTTTTAAAAGAATACGTAATCATAGTATTAAAAATAGTGATCACTTAAATTCTATTTCAGTTTAACCACAATGAAAGAATTTACACTTAAGGGTGGCCAAAAATATTATACTATATAGAGACCAGTGAAACCATATGAGATTAGAACTGACTGTTTATTTAGTTTGAACAACCTATCCATTCTTYTACATTACTTAGAAGAAACAAGCTTAAGTAATTGTATATAATTAATTTAATTACATTTGTGTTTCCTAAAATCATACCAATAAGACTGGGAAGTACAATCTATTGTTTAAAAGCAGTCCAAAGAAACCACCTGAAGTATGTGGTTCGTCACCATTGATAGGGATTATAATACATCAATATCAATATACAGATTGAATATTAATGAATACCATTTAATATTACATCATACAATTTTTTAAATCTCATATTCATCAGCAAATAGTCAACCAAAACGTGCCAATACAAATGTTTTAAATAATAAAAATGAAGCCTAACAAAATTTATTTTCTATACAATATCAATTCTTTAGTATTCAAATTATTTATTAATTTGAACCTATGACCAAATGCATAGGTACTAACTTCGTAATTACCATCASAGTATATCCAACATATTCAGATCAATTAGTACATTCAGGTAAGTTCATCAACAATATTATTTATGATTAATTTTAGGGCTGTCATCATTAACTCTAGTTTAGAGAAATACACAAATATTATTTTTTTTTTGAAAGTTTGAACTCAATAGATCAACATAATAGAGAATATTTATACATTTGATACTCACAACAATTTAGTAGATTTAACGTTTAAGTCAATAAGGAAAAKAATAGCGGATTAGATTTTAAATGTGTTGAAACTGGCCATGGGTGCCTGTTTAGTGAAGTCAACCATGTATAGATATCGGTATTGAACACTTAAACATATTAGCTTGTAATATATTTTTATTATAAAAGAAATATGCATCAGTAATAATAATTAAAATGAAATTAAGTACTAACAGCACTTATACAATTTATTATATTGGGATAAGCTTAGACCATGTGAGAGTAAAAGTGGTATTGGGATCATGCAATTTTTTTACYRAGTTACCTTAATACAATTAATTGTAAATATTATTTAACTTSAATAAAAAAAATGAAATTAATTAGTAATTACTAGATTATACCATTCCCCATCAATGTACTTACCTTTTGGCGACCCGGGAACTTGAATTTAGCACGACGTAATGCTTCAATAACAGCTGCCTTGTACCTATCAGATGAGCGAACACTCATGATTGGTTGACCAATATGTACACGAGCAACTGTACCTTGAGGCTTACCAAAAGCTCCTCTCATTCCAGTTTGAAGCCTGAAAAAGAAGAAAAGTATATGACTTAAAAATATCACTAACTAATGATTAAACACAGTGTAAATAATTCAACTATATATTTGTTTATTAGTTTTATTATCAATATAAAATTGAACATTGTGAATTTCATCCATATTTT